ATCCCTGTGACCTGAGAGACGATCCACCTTGATCTTCGTCCGCATTACCAACAGCGACTCACCGCACCTAACAGCCTGCTCGCATCCGTCATGACTACTCTTCTCTCTTTCCTGCCCTCGCTCGGTCGCCAGGAAATGTGAATACAGTGTGTTGCGCACATGTACCCCTGTCAGGAGATCGTTTTTTTGTTCGCATCGTCCAGCACCTGTTCCTTCGACAGGTAATCTCCGTAATTCCATCCCCTTCACATTCATCAAGTAGAGCCACACGATTGACGAGAAACTGAATCAAAGGCCAGGAACAAAGCGGCGTAACAAAGGATTTAGTCTTACAAGTCCCGCACTTATATTTTGAAAGGTGGTACCAAATGGCTTTAATCTTCTTGGCCTTCATCTGCGGTCGCGTCACTCTCACATTGAAAAATAGAAAAACAGTAACTCTCACTTTTGATAGATTCTGGAGAGAGAGAGCCGTTCTCATTCATTTTTTATCTCATACGTTACCAAGGTATTGTACTCGTTAGAGGCGTTTGATAAACTTGTTTCCGGTGGTCGCCCTCCAATGTTGAGCACCAGTCGAAGACGTGGCTTCATTTCAGCCGCGTGTGCAAGATGTTGGCATCGTGTGTGGAAGATGCTCGCTTCTTCAGATGGCACTGCCTCGTCATCTTGATAGGGTCCATTTTGCTCATACAATACTTGCGTTCTGACGCTCTCAGACAACAATGAAGTTCTCTCCTTGTCTGGATGTTGCATTTTATACGACAAGTGTCTCTCTTGTGTACGATTTAAAAGTCATTTCTTGCAAATGAATATAAAATATACTCTTTGTTATGATATGGTCAGAGTACAGACTTCGTGCAAGATAAGCAACTTTGCATTTGATTGGTCACAAAGCACGGTATCTATTCTAAGACAAAACCATGCAACATGAAACATTTTCCAACTACCCAAGGGTAGATGCCGGGGATGACGCCAAAAAAAAGGTTTTTCATCTGACCATGCGGCTCTCGGAGCAAAATAGCTTTTCTCTTTACAGAAGAGGGCCATATAATTGGATGAAATCTCTCAAAAAATGAATTCTTACAGGTGCTGACAAAGAATATGCCGGGTGGAACGTTATGGAAGAGCCAGAATGACATTGGAACGTCAAAGCAATGTAATTGGCAGCATAAAAGTCAGCAGAAAAATGTGCTCATTTTGAGGAAGCGTCGTGAGAGCGCATCGGAGCGTGACAGCACTTGGGTAAGCACGAATGAAGCAATAGCAGAGGTACGAGATGTGAGCGCAGTCTCCGTAAGCAAAGTCGTTCCACTTCGTTATCGAGCGCAGGCAAGGAAGTTGAGGAAGTGCGAGTCGGGGAAAAGAATGAGAGGCTACAATCGCATCGTTCATCTAGCATGTTGCTCACATGTGTATGCTCTAGCGAATGCGTCCATGCGAGAATTCCACGCAGAGGCGGAGTCAAGGTTAGGGCTCGGTAGGGAGATCGCCAGACAAACTCGAGTCGTGGGAAGGCAGCCACAAGCGTCGGACACGCGCTCTCCCATCCATTAAATTTATGGGATGGACATGTGCATGAGAGGAGGTTGACCGAACTCAGGATGACAAGTGGAAGTCACTGAATGAGATCTCCTTCTGTACAGTGCTGTACAGTATATGATTCCGGGTCAGCAAGGATGAGGGAAAAGAGATTTTTTTTTCGAGTTTTCTGGACAAGTTGCGACGACATACTTGTACAAGAAGAGGAGTTGCGAGAACTAGTCGTTATTACAGTACTACAGTATGCTTGTCCGAGATTCGGTGGAGGGATCGGATCAAGTTGGTGATTGCGAGAGGGGAAAGGATTGGAGAGCGAGATTGTTAGAGGCCAAAGTTCAACCATCATATACAGGTCATCTATGTTTAATCTATAATATGCATTGACTCGTTTTGGCTTTTTGAGGCGGTGGTTTGTTTAGGATGGTCCAGGTCGGTGAGAGAGGATTGTTGCCAGTCGACGTTGTGGTGACGTTTGCACCACGAGATTTAGAAAGCTCAAAAAGGACTTAGCCCCGGGGGTCAAGATCAAGATAGGAATAGGGGATGTAGAAGTGGCGGGGCTCCTTGAGATGAAGGCGATGTGACTTGAGGATGGGAAGTAACAAGAGGAATGCGGGATGTGCGAAAAGGCAATATCCGAGCACAATGGGTGATCTGTTTTCAACGGTGGGGATCAACGGCGGGGAAGCGCTCAAGGTGTATGTGTGGCGAAGGGGGTTGAGAGTGAACGAAGCGCAAGGAGGGAGATGAAAGTGGGGTGTGTGGCTAAGAGCAGCAGACGGGACGGTGACGTCGATGACAGTGACCGGGGTGACGTTGGTGACGGGAGTGCTGGGGTGTGACACACGGATCATTTTGGGGTTACTGATTGGTATGAGTAGGGAGCGTGAGGCCCTTGTGTGAGGACGCCGACGGAAATGCAAGAAGCGACGAGATCAGGGGATGAGTGTTGGACGGAAACGTTGTCAGCGAGGGCGGATGTCAGGGGGCGTAAGAATGGCGTTTGCGTCGTCGGACCAATGGGAGGCGAGGGCGGGCGGCGCGTGCGCTGCTCGCAGCCCCGCAAAGCCGCACCGAACAAGCCGCACCGAACAGCCGCGCTGAGGACAGGTCGCGCGGGCGCGGGTGATCACAAGCGCCCTCGGAAAGGCGGCTCGCATGCAGTGCACGGCCGGCATGCGCCACGGGCACCTGGTCATCATCTCGGAGCGCGCGGACACGGAAACGACACGCGCGTCACGTGCACGCAGCTCTCGATTCATGCGTGGACGGCGCCCCTGCGCGCGTCCGGCAGCACCGCGAGCTCGCACGAGCTGCGCAACTGCGCGCCGCAGTCACGCTTCCCCTCCGCACCAACCGTCTCATGTCACCTTTTCTCCCCGCCCTGCCCCGTGTCACGCACGCTTCCGGAGCTGTCCGCGCCACAACCCCCGGAACGCTACCCTCCGAGCGAAAGATCGAATTTGAACTGGCCAAAGGCGCTAATCTCTGGCTTGCCAACAAAGGCTATGAC